TGCCACACAAGATCTCTGTGGGGAGGCAAACTAGCAGGCACTGCATGCGTGATAGCCTTTATTTCTCTTTAGGTACCTGTAACAAAGCAGCTTAAAACAGACATTGGCAGTTCCACATTTTAAATGCAAAATTATTCTGATAAAAAGATACTATTTACATTGAATTGCACATGCTAGAAAAGCCGAGTGACTACAGAAGTAAGTGCTAAGATGTGAACACCTCCTGCTAACTCTGTGCCGAGTCCCAACCCGGTTTATAGAGCTCCTGGAGCAGCTGTTGAGTTGCTTATTACCACAGATGCTCTGAGTATGCAAACCCCCCCAGAGGTGGAGCAGAAGCAGAGCCAGCACTACCGACAGGTGCACCTGGTGGCTATCATGTCCTCGTACTCCTTGTAGACGATGGAGCCGTCGGGCTCGATGGTGAGCACGCTGAGCGGGCTGTACGCCGCGGGCACGCAGGACGGCCGGGGCACCGCGGGGTCCAGCCGCTCCGAGATGAGGTTCTGCACCACGGTGTGCACGGCAGAGCCATACCTGTGCCCCGTGGCCCGGGGACAGTCCCCCTTGCAGTACTGGGGGCTGTACCTGTGCGGGGCAATGATCCACCTGTCCCACTTGAGCTGGCTGAAGCTCAGGCGGAAGTTGTGCAGCTCACACTCGTTCTGAGGGAACAGGAACTGTTTGAAGTATTCGCTCAGGTTGTTAGGTGGAGCTGCTGGTGCTGCTTTCAGGTTCTCATCCCTTCGCTGCCTAGATGCCCTGGATGCACTGCCTTTGCCACCCGAGGGGCTGCTCCTCTGCCTGCCCCGCGCTGGGCTCTTCCTCCCGTGCCTCAGGGAGTTCCAGCGGTGATAAGCTTGCTCACTGGTGTCGTTCAGATACAGAAGGAGGGAAGGGGGAACCAGTGCCACGTTCACAGGGTTCTCCAGTTTGGTGCTCTGTTGTGGGTCGCCCATCAGACAAGTGAAGTTCACAGCCATGTGGATATTCCTCCTGTGCGTGGCGATTAGAGGCTGGAGGAAAGGAGTCACGTCCACCTCCACCCACTTGCGTTTTCTGACTTCAAAGTGCAGGCTAAAAGCTAGAGAGTGGGAAATGCTGGGGCATACTTGGCTGGAAAAGTCATGTTCCTTAATGGATAAATGGCAGATGCAGGTAATGGAAGAGGAAACAGGGACAGAGGTGTCAAAGGAATAGAGCAAGACAGACTTGAGTAAGTGCTCCAGAGCAGTAACACGATCCAGGTTGAAGAGTAAATCCACCGAGTGAAGATCTCCTGGAAGGAAAACAGAATCCTGTAGAGTTGGTGTCTTGATTTTCCACCTAGACATAAATACTGTCAGAGTAGACAAGTAGAAGTGATTCAGCAGCAGAAAAAAAAACCTAAAACAGTTTAGATGGCCAACTTTAAGGTTATTACCTGGAATTTCTTCTTTGATCAAGACCTAAGATTTAAAAGTTAAGAAATCACAACAAACCCAGGAAACCTCATGATTTTAAGAGCTATTAGGATTCATTTAATTCAAAAAATCAAACCAGAAAACAGCACAGGAGTTTAAGAGCTATTAGGATTCATTTAATTAAAAAAATCAAACCAGAAAACAGCACAAGAAAAGTTAGCAGTTGTCACTTCAGTGTTGGTGTGGGGAAACAGGAACTATACACTCCAGGTGGTACAGGCCATGAACTGCATCTCAATGTGCTGTGGTTTATGGCCTTGAAAATACTAAACCCAAGATGGGCAGGAAAAGGAAACATGAGGCTGTTATTCCTAACCATTTTCCCCCACTTTTCTTAGACCTAACTGTAGTTTTCTCTGACTCAAAATGAGATGAGTCAGCCTGGAACGCTGGTATTTCCTCGTACATACCATTTGGGTGGTGTTTCCCAAACTGTGGGAGGTCTGTGCCTAGTGCCATTCAAGGAGAAGTAGGGTATGAAAAACTCCTACAGCTCAGGAGAAGAGCCCTCGGGATTAAAATAGCAACAAGGCTACAGAAAAAAGGTATTTTCACATGATGCCACAAGCACAGGAGACACAGAAACCCCCCTAAGCTTCCCCCCCAGGTCACTGCACACCTACCTTTGCCCAGGTCCCCGTGGCGGTGCCTGCACTCCGAGCACGGAGTGAAAAGTCGGACAGTGTTGTAGAGGTGGCCCCTGTGGGCCTTGGGGATGCCCTCCTTGGTGGCTGACATCTTATAGAGCCTCTTCATGTACCGCAGGGCCCTGGAGTCTGGCTGCAGCCTGGGCACCTCGCTGGCCCAGCCACGCTGGCCCCGGTCAGACAGCACCTTCAGGAGGGGAGGCAGGAGGGCATAGCCACGTCTGGCACTCGTGGGCAGCTGCAGCACTGGATGGAGCTCAGCAACATGGTCTGCAGCAGCTGCCACAAGCCCAGGGGCTTTGTCAGAGCCCCCCCAGCCCTGGGAGGGAGGGGAGCACTGGGTGCCAGTAGAGAGCCAGGGCAGACAGCAGTAGAAGCAGACACATATTTTCCAAGTGCTCTCCATGCTCTTCAGGGCTGCAGCCAAAAATGTACCACCCCATAAACACTCAAAGAAAAACAAGAGTGCCTGAGCCCAATCCCTTATATAGGTTGCAGGTGTGGGCCAGGGGAAGGTTTCTTCCTTATTAGAAGGCAAAGAGAAAGGCCTGCAGCTAGTTCCTGAGGCCACAGGCTCCTTTGCTTTTAGGGGCAAGTAGTGGCCCCTGGAAGGGTATTATAAACCAGAGCCTAATTCTGAGCTAACCTTTTCCACCTGGGGAATGGCAGGCCAGGAGGGAGTGCCAGCCCACAGAGGGGCTGGGGAGGTGTCAGTGCTGCCTGCTCCAATTAACCCTGGCTTAATTGCAGGAACATATAGAGCTAAATGGTACTGCTCTTAGCCTTTGGCCTCTCTCCATGTGCTGGTCGAACAATTTCCACCTGCTCTGGGCTGAAGTCACCCATTCCCCAGCTGCTCACTTGAGATAAAGCTGTGGGGAAGCCTTGAATGGGCTCCTGGTCAAGGAAGGAGGTTGGAGGCAGTGACCTCCTGCTTTGAGAGCACCTTACAGTTAGCTTAGCTTAGGTATAATTAGACATTATACAATGCTATAGTTGCATACATTTTAGATACTGTAGGTGTCTAGAAAGATTCAGTGAACAAATATAAATGAGTAGGTGGAACTTACTTTTTGCTTATTTTGTTGTTTTTCCCCCCTCCCCTCCAGTAACATACAGATAGGATTGCCATTCTCCCTTCCTTTTTCTTCAGAAGGAAGAAAATATTTGCAACAAATTAAAACCTAGGAAACTGGAGCATTATATTGGCCATTCTTCCTCTTGCCTTGGTGTGCTGGTGTGGAAAGCTGAGTTTTCAAGCTTGTTATTATCTCTTTTAGCTTTCCTGGTGCATTTTCCTGCCTGGCAAGCTCTTGTTTGCAAGCTGGAGAGCAAGGAATGCCCTGAAGAATAAAACCTGTGCGAAATAGAGAGTGTGCTGCTGTTCCCTCACAGGGAGCAAACAGGACAGGTAAGCTGCTGCGTGATAGATGTGAGTTTGGGGGTTTTCAGAGATGTTTTTATTGCCTCCAAATAGAATAATGTTTCTACCCATTCTAACAGCATCTCTGCCATAGGGCTCAGCTGTGGCTTTAGGGTAGGAGTGGGCAAATTTTGTTTTTGTTTTGTTGGGGTCTTGTTTGTTTTGCAGTACTATCAGACATGGTTAAGGTGCAAGTCCTTACGTGACCATGAGTGAGAAATGCACTAAGTAATGATGACTTCTGTCGCTGGCTTTCCTGGGCAAATGCTGCCTGTGTTCACAGGGATTGGGATTGATGGTGCTACAGGCCCCAGAGCAGTGGGGCTGAAGATTTTGTGTACTTTGGGAAATTTAGGGCATTTTCAGAATTCTTTTCTTGTCCTTGTAGCCTAGGTATGAGGCTACTCCACACCCAGGTAGGAGCCAGTTGTGACAAGCCAAAAAGGTTGCTGACTTTCACTTTGAACTAGAAGGGGCATGGAACAAAAGAAAAACCCCAACCCTAACACATCTGCTCTGTGCTTGTAGTGGCTCAGTGGTGCTTGGGCTGGTTCCCACTTCCTCCTGCCTAAAATAAGCTCTATTTATTTTTATCTTAATGGGTTAGTGCTGCAGTTCCTGAGCAGAGCTAATGGTCTCAAGGGCATCCTTTGAGTTTAACCAGAGGTTTGACTCATTTTTATGGGGGCTTTTGGGGAGGAACAATCACTCTCTATAGGCTGCTTACAGCCTTCCAAACTCCTTTTAGGCAGGGCAATAAAAGCTACTCCAAGCACCAGCCCACACTGAGTCTGGAGGCCTGTTGGGTGGGAAAATGCTGCTTCCCTTCCCTTAATATCTTTCAAAGCCTCCCAAAGCACCAACACTCATGTTTGAGACACAAACTTGCCCAGGGGGGTGGGGAGGTTGGATTTTAGGCTGCCCCCAGCCCTGGGCAAACTGCAGCTATTGTGGCATTTGCTGAATCATTTTATTTGTCTACAAAGTTGTTGCTGCAAGGTCAGTGCCTAACAATGAAACGTGTCAGTGCTCAGAAAGCAAACAAGGGGAAATCCTTCCTCACTGGGACATGGCTCTGTGGCCCAGGGGCAGTCACATTTCTCCCCCAGAGCAAAGCCACAGTTGCAGCTTTGCTGTGTGAAGGTGCTGGGTGATGTCTATAGGATTATACAGGTGTACCTGAATCTTTACACAGCTTTGTCCTGCATTGCCATTAAGGATGGTAAACCAGGTATATTTATATAAAACTAAATGACTTATTGTGATCATGATTAGACTGAAAGATCTTAACCAGAATTATTTACTACACAGTGTAGGAGCTGTGACTACTAGTATAGTACAGTGCACTATGGAGCAATATTGAAGCAATTATAGTAAAGCAATTATACCACAGCTAGCAAAGAATGTTAAGTAGAGATGGATGTTACCAATGGCCATGGGCAAATCTCTTTGGCTCAGTCTCAAGGAGTGACCCTGAGGGGCATCCCCAGTCCAGGAGGGAATCTTCACACACACTTCCAAGCAGGGAGTGTTAAAGACCCTCTGTTAAAAAGTGGGACTGAGCTTTTAGAGTATGAAGTGCTGGACTGTCAGTCAGGTGTCTCCAGGCTGTGTCAGCTCAGCAGCTCTACATAAGTTGTCAGCAGTATCACTTGTTTGTTCCTTTACTATCTGTCACATCTTCACCTCACTCTCAGGATGTTTAGCTTTGGGTTTGCTGAGCCAGACTGGTTTCAGCATTGCTCAGCCCCCAAAGCAGGACAAGACCTCATGAGCCCATCCCCACTGCCAGCTCTGCAAACAGGGAATTGTTCAAGTTGTTTCACCCCCAGGCAGAGCATCCTGAACAGGGACCCACTCTCCCAGTCCTGGGGGTGTCCCAGCTCCCTGTGCTGCAGCAAGCTGTGCTCACGGTGAGAGCCACAGCAGAGCCTCCTGCTGCACACCAGCACAGAGGACACCACTCCTGTTAATCCTCCCTGCAGAGCCGAGTCTCGGCGAGCAGGGGCAGTCTGTGGATTTAACAGAGTGTGCTGCCAAACACGCTGTGGCAGAGCTGTCTGCGCTCCCGGCGGGGCTCGGCTCGCCCTGCTGCACAGACACTTTCCATCTGCCTGGCAGGAGCTCCCAGCACTGTCTCTCCCCACGCTGACAAACTAGGTCAGCCTCCTGCTGCCTTCAGCACGCTGCAGCTCTGGGCACTAACACCCCGGACTGAATTCCCCAGACACACCTGGAGCTGCCTGGCAGGACAGCTCTGTGTTCAAGCATCACATCATCCCTGGCCTGTTTCTCACCCATCCCAAAGCCCCAGTGCCCCAGCACAGCTGCTGTGGGAGAAGCAGAAAATAAGGGTATTTTTCTTCCCAACAGCATGAGCGTCTGAGAAAACCACTGTGGCTTCCCAGGACAGTCCACAACAAAGCCCACAGGGAGGTTTGATGTGGTTTAAGGGACCTGAGGCAGGACCTGTGCACATGCAATGCCTCCAGCCTTGTGGCCCACAGCCAGGCAGGAGAGACCTCTCTGAGAACTGGGTTCCTACAGACTTTATGGGAACAGGCAGAGAATGATTCATATCCAGCTGATCACCACAGGTGCCCCATGGAAGATCAGCCCTCGGGGTCTGGGTCTGTCCCCACCTGTGCTCATCCCTGTGCCAGAGGGGCTGTGGCAACCAGGGCTCTAAACCAACCCTGGTCCCAGTGAAGTTTCAGGTGCTGACTGTGGGTTTGGGAAAGAAGGTTGTTCTCCTGGAGGTGTTTCAATGGCAGGGAACACCACTGTGTGGCAGTGAGCTGGGACACTGGCTCTGAAAGAGCTCTGAGGGACTATCAGCACAGCCTGAAAACAGCCCTGTGCTTCCTCAGCCAAACGTTCCCACTCTTCCCAGGAGCATCTGAACTGGTCCCAGCTCACAAAGCCAACTCTGCATACTTCATTTTTATGTTATATCTGCTCCCACCGTGTTCCAAAAGCAAGCACAGGGGAAAACTTGAAAAAGCACCACAGCTCTGAGAGGATGGATTTGGGCAGAGTAAGGAGTGGCAGCTCCAGAGTGCTCCCAATCAGCTGACAATCTGCACTGAGCAGGGATGGTTTACTGGCTGGAGAGCCACGGGGCAGGATCTGGCCCCCTGCCCCAGGGACATGCCAAGCAGGAGCCCACAACAACAAGATGAGTCGGGCTGATGCCAACCCTGGCAGCATCCCAGAGCACCAGTGCCACTGTTTCTGGTGTTCCTGCCTTGCCTGCGGCAGTTGCTGAGGTTGTACATTCTTTGCAAGCTTGAAACAAAATCCCAACCTTTTCCCAAGGCAGAAGCATTCCCACTCTGCCATCCCTGTGACAAAGCTGTGTCCTGTCTTGCACGTCTGCCCAAAGCAGTGCTGAGGCACATGCAGCTGCCTCTCAAAATTTGCATTTGCAGAGCTGCTGCTTTGTGACTGTGTCCTTTAACTCAAGCCTGGAGCCATCAGAAGTGAGTTTCCAGCCCTAGGACAAGATTTTGTTCCCTTGCAAATGCTCCAGCGTCAAAGTTGTTCCCTAGGTGGATCTGTGTTCCCCATCCCCTGCTTGTGTGGGCAGCAGCTACAGCACAGAGGGGCAGCATCAGCCAGAAATGATCCAGCCAACCTCTGAGCCTTTCCTACAGACTGCAAGGGAGAGAGAGAGGAAGGGAAAACCTCCCCAAGCACAAGAGCTTTCCAGCCATATGTGCGTGAAACTTTCTTCCCGTGCCACGTGACGGAGGAAGAGGCTCAGATCCATTACACAATAATAAAAATATGCCTTTGGCAACGTGGAGCCCAAGTGGAGCTGCTGCAGGAAGCCAGCAATATGCACAAAAAGGAATAAAGCAGCATCAAAAAGGAGGACCCAAGTCCATCCTGCACTCCCTGGGGCAGGCAGGGGCTGTGTGACACCCATCTGAGCAGAGCATCTGCCCCGAGGCGTGGAGGCTGCCAGAGCCTGTCAGGATCTCACCAAAGAGATTAGTCCTGGTGAGTAGATCCACTTTGCCTTTTTTTTTCTCCCCCTCTCTCTCCTCTTAACCTTAACTTTGAAAACTTCCCAAATAAGGTCTAAGTCACTGCACTGAGGTTTCCAGTGCCTGTGAGGAGTCTGTGAGGGCAGCAGGAGCCAGTAAAAGAAACAGGCCATGAGGAAACACTCCTCAGGCTCTTGCTGGAAGCACCCACCTTACTCAGCTCAAACCTCAGCCTGTCCCCAGCTCAGCACAGAGCAGCAGCTCCTGTGCTGGGGCTTTAGCTCAGGGCTGGGACAGGTTTGCCACAGGCATCCCTGGCTGCCCAAAACTGAGACAGTGATGCAGGTCCAGGCACAGGAGGTGCTTTACCTGCTGTGACAGAGCTTTGTGCAGCAGCAGGTAACAGATCAAACTCCCACTGCTGTAACTACTTCACTGCTTTCTCTAAGTAGTTCAGTCCATCCATTGCAGCTGCTGTCTGTCACCAGTGACACCTTATTTTACCTCAGTCAGCCCCAAACACCCAAGGGCTCCTTCTGCTTCCACCCCAGGGATGCTGCAGGGCAACCACCAGAGCTGAGGATTAGGCTCACAGATATAATTATTATTAAGACACCTCAAGGTACACTAGGAAATTGTGAAGCAGAAAGATGGTTGTTTTGTTTGAGAGAGACTCAAGGGTTGAAAGGGAACAGAGTAGAAAGTCACAGTGTTTGTTAGCTGTTGGGTCCCCTCTCAGACCATCTGCTCCTCCCTCTGAGCAGCAGCTCCCCCAGACCCTCCTCTTCTCACCACTGCTTGGGACAGAGTGGGGCAAAAATCACCATCCAGCCACCAAACCACCCCACAGCTGGGAACCCTGAGGGATTTCCCCTCTGGGATTTCAGCCCAGCTGCCCTGTGAGCAGCAGAAAGTGTGACTATCCTGCATGCCTGGGGCTCACTCCCACAGGCAAATCTTTCCTCACAGAAACACCTCTATTGCACAGGGATCTCTAGAACTGGTCTGGCTGCTGAGCTGAGGAGCACACTCCTGCACAACAGGCATTGGGCATGGCCAAGAGGTCTCTAAACCCTATTAACAAAGACATTAATTACCCTGTCATTAGAAAACCAAGGCCTCATGCAGCAAGGGCTGCAGTGCCAGCCCAGCCTGCAGGGAGGAGATGCTGATCTGTTTCCAATTTGCTTTCTGGAGCTCTTTGTGCTTTCTACATGGAGGAGCAATTTTCCTTTTAAGGTGGAACAGCGTGAGGTTTGTTCTCTTTCGAAGAGATTTCTTTCAGGGTTATTTATAGATCCTCTTGTGAATGTGGTTGTGCTCTGCATCCCACGCAGGGTGCTGGGACGTGGGATCAAACGCTGTGTGCAGCTGTTAATTAACACCAGGCTGTGCCAGGGCCTGGCTCCAGGTGCTACCCCAGCCCTGGTGCTCCTGACCTGCTGGTCTCGGGGTATTCTGTTTGCCACTATTCATCCCATCAGGATCAGTTGGCTTGTCTCAAGGTGACAGAGAAACTTTGAGAGGAGCTTCCCTCCCACCTGTGTTCCCTCACACATTTCCTCTCCACATGAAGCTGCCTCAGCTTTTTCCAGGTTATACTCCACAGTGACATCTTTCCTTGCCACAACCTGTTAGTGTCATCCACCCCCAGATGCCTCTCACTTCTCTCCTGTCCCATTTGAGGTGGTTCCTGGGCATCAGGGCTGCAGCTTTGCTGGTGATCTCCTGACTCCACAGGCACTTTAACGCTTTGTATCCCTTCCCATGGACTGAGAAACCTTTGTTCAACTCTCCACATGAATATTGGTCGATGTTTTCCATCTCACAAGTCTGTTAAACTGACACCTTTTACCAGCAGCAAATAAACTTTAGTATAATAACAGCAAGAGAGAGCTGAAGAACAAAATGGCTCCGCAGCCAAATCCAGCCCAGAGATCTGGTTTGCATTTCCCACTCCTCTGCATGTTCTTGATTATAATATCACAGAACTGGAGGCTCTCACTGAACACTAATCTGTAGCATCAGCTCTCTGGATTTGGAGCATGTAAATGTGCATTTCCACCCCTTCAGAAGCCAATACCAGGATGAGAGCTCTAAGGCTAACATGAGATTTATCTGGTACTTAAAGCACCTTTTTTTCCAGTGCAGGAGTTAAACATAACACTGCTGTGGAGTTGCTGAAGCCTCCTGGTATTTGACAGTTGCTCATCTTTCCAAGGGGAGTGTTAGTAACAGAAACTGAGCTGCTGCCCCCGCAGAGCAGCAGGTCAGCACAGAGAGAGGTCAGAGCCCCCCGGGGAGGCTGCAGGGGCTGCTGTACCCCAGCACCAAGCTGAGGCTTGGAGGGTGGTGGCTGCAGGTTGTGCAGTGCTGATCAGCCAAGCTGCTGTGGGGAACAGGACATTCCCAGCCAGGCAAAATGCAGTGAGGCCCAGAGCCTCTCCAGCCTTCTCCGTTCAGCCCTGCATCACCCCACGGGTTCATGCTTGGGAAGGACCCCCAGTGACCCCACTGCAGGGCAGACTGGGGGGCTCACACCAACCCCTTCCTCCTTCCTGTGCTCTGCTGGTCCTGAGCAGCTGCTTCTGCACCTCTCTCATTGCTCCTTGTGACCTGGGGGGAGAAGGGGGGAAGAGGCCCAGGCACCAAAACAAAATGAGGGATGGCCACAAATACAGACCAAGAGAAGAGCAGGTTTGAAAAAGATACTGGTCAGACCTAGAAAACTCCATGAGCCAAATGTGTTGCACAAAACAAGCAGCTCCCCCACCCTGCCACAAAACAACCCAATTACCTCCAATTTTCATGCAGAGTTGGGGACACTGCTGTACCCCACACACTCCTACCATGGTCCATCTCCTCCCCACAGGCTGTGCCATGATCTCTGCTGTCCTCCTGCTCTGGACCGTGCCCTGTGTGGCCAACCAAATCCTCGGTGGGTTTGCCAAGAGGGAGCTGCAGGAGGAGCCCCAGCTGGCCTGCAGCCTGCCAGGGCCCCCCGGGCCCCCCGGCCCCCCGGGTGTGCCTGGCACTCCAGGCACAGTTGGCAGGATGGGATTCCCTGGCAAGGATGGGAAGGATGGCCAGGACGGGGACAAGGGCGAACACGGCGATGAAGGTAAGAGCAAAGAGCTGCACACAAAGATGAAATGTGAAAGCAAAGGTGCTCAGCTCAGTGCACACCAGCCTACCACCCACATCTGAGCCTGAGGAAACTCTTCTGGAAATTTCCATTCTGCCCCTCCAACCTATCCCACTTGTGGGAGGGTTTCAGGTGCATCCCAGGCCCCTATAGCATCACAGCACTGTGTGCAGTTCCTGGGGCTTTGTTCTCCTGTGCACTGAGGTTTGCCTGCTCCAATAGATACTCTCTGGGGGAGGCAAAGTGCTGATGTCTGTTCCTGCTCTTGGGCAGAACAGAGCCAGGTAAGGAAACGAAGTTCTTGCTGCCCAAAGCTCTGTAGCTGAGGGACAGGCACTGGTCTGGCCAAAGCAAACAACAATCCTTTAATCCTGAGCTGAGGCTGCCCCTGGCTCCAGCCTCGGAGCCAGGAGGGTCCAGAGCAGCTGTGCTGGGAGAGCAGTGATTTTCCCTTGCCGCACTAGGGAGCACTCCTGCTCCAGCTAACGCCAGCGAGCCCAGCCTCGCCTCGCTGCCTTCTGCCCCCCAAACCGGGAGCCTGGGGAGCAGATTTCCAGCCGCAGCTGCATTCACATCTGGGTTGGCCACAGCAGGGCAAGAGTCAGGGCATAGATCCTCATCAATTTGTTTTGTGTCCTATGTGCCACAATCAGGATCACTGTGACTGCCCAGCTCGTTCCCATTTCTCACCTCCAGGCAGTCCCTGCCCAGGGTGTTTGCTGCTTTTCACTGCACCCAGATTGAATTTTAAATTATTATTTTAAAGAGTTTCATGTTGATTGTGCAAAAAAGCAAAGAAACAAGAAAGAGATTACAAGTACTTAGTTAGCCCAGAGAGGTTCCAAAGGCTTCACTGTAAACCCCAAATATTTAAATCTTGTTCTTTAACTCCTCCTCGGGCCAGGCAGGTAATTGAAACAGCCTTTTGGTCCTTAATGAGGGACAGACTGTGCTGCTCCCAAGGCCCACTGTTATCATGGCAACTCCTGTCCCACCCTGGACAGCCCGTCCCGACAACATCCTGCTCCAGCTGGGGTTTCATCAGGATTGTCACACCAGCAAGGGTTTCCTCCTCGATGAAATGCCCCTTTGCACCTGCTGTATCAGCTCTTTCACCAGAAGATCACAAGGTTGTTTGTGTTCTAGGTGCCCAAGGCAGGACAGGAAATCCTGGGAAGCCAGGCCCGAAGGGGAAGGCAGGAGCCATCGGCAAGGCAGGCCCACGGGGACCCAAGGGCTTAAAGGGCAATCCTGGGAAAAATGGAGCCCCAGGAAAGAAAGGGCCCAAAGGGAGTAAGGGTGAGACTGGGCTGCCAGGGCCCTGCAGCTGTGGTGCCAACAGAGCCAAGTCTGCCTTCTCCGTGGCTGTGTCCAAGAGCTACCCGAGGGAGAGACTGCCCATCAAATTCGACAGGATCCTCATGAACGAGGGAGGACATTACAATGCTTCCAGTGGGAAGTTCATCTGCAGCATCCCAGGCATTTACTACTTCACTTACGACATCACCTTGGCCAACAAGCACTTGGCCATTGGCTTGGTGCACAACGGGCAGTACCGCATCAAGACCTTCGACGCCAACACTGGCAACCACGACGTGGCCTCTGGGTCAACCATTCTTGCTCTGAAGCAGGAGGATGAGGTATGGCTCCAGATCTTCTACTCAGAACAAAACGGGCTCTTCTATGATCCCTACTGGACAGACAGTTTGTTTACTGGATTCCTGATCTATCCTGATCAAGATTATCTCAATGAAGTATAGGATGAGAAACTAACCTGTGGGGGAGAATGGGAAGTAGGTGAGGCCTCAATCAGCAAAGTGTGGCCTGTACATGGCCGTGTCTGGGATTGTCAGATGGTTCCTGTCCTGGGTTGCAGTGGGGGATATCCATGGTATGTATTCCATTATCATCTCCACAAGCTGTTAAAGCAGGTGGGGCAGTGATGGTTATCACCTTGTCCCTCCCTCAGGGCAATCCTGATGGCTCCCTCAGGGGCTGTCTCTGATTAAAGGGCTGCCAAGGACCCATGCAGGACACATCCCCCCAGTGACCCTTATCCCTTGTCCCATGGTGAGGTGACTCACCCCAGGGGTGGGAGCCAAACATGCTCACAGGGATATCAGCTGGGGTTTGAACCAGCACAGGGAGCCCTTTGCCTGCTGGATTCCCAGAGGACAAGAGCTGCTGCTGGACCTTCAGGAGAGGATCAGATCTGTGGGATCACTGCTCCAACAAACCCATCACTCCAGGAGGACTGCAGCACCATTTAATGGGACTGCTACTACACCCTGACTGACAGGGGGTCAGGTTACTTTCTGACTCTGTCAGGTTATTTTCTGACTCTGTCAGGTTACTTTTTTTTTTGTACTGTTGCATTTGTGTTGTTTTGTTGTGTTGCTCATATTAAATTGTGCTTCTGATTCAGAGTCTCTCACCGGTTTGCTTTTCAAACCAGCACATTCCACATTCAGATGTTTACTTGGTGTCCTCAGCAAGTCCACAGGGCCCAGGACTTCCAGCAGCCTCATGGATCTCTCCATCTCAAAGCCACCCATTATATTTTCCATGATTATTCCAACTTGCCATGGACATGTAACTCGAGTACTGGTGCAGAATCCTTTGATTATTGTTTCAATCAAGCATGAAAACCAGCAATCCTTTCCTGAAAGCTGAGCTTGGAAGTGCCATGGATGCTGGAGATTGTATCACTATGCCTCCTCCCCTACACCTCTGGGTAAGAGTTATGCTTTGCCAGGGAGTTAAGAGTTGGAGAAGCAGAGCTGGAGCCTCATCAAAGCCGTGCTAATACACAGAGGAATCTGCTCTAGGTAGGAACTGACACAAAAGATCTCACCTTTCAGATTCAGGGCCTTGCAGGCACCTCACAGCCCATGAACTGATGCTCTGAACGCCACTGGTGTTCCTCAGATCATAGAATCAGAGACTCAGAGACTGGTTTGGGGTGGAAGGAACCTTAAAGATCATCTGCTGAGATCCTCCATCCCTCTGTGCCCCACACACCAGTGCTCCCAGAGCAGCCCCATCCTCCCTCCCTGCATTTCTCCGTGACCCTGAGCAGGACAGGCTGTGTGCCCTGGCTGCCTGACAGGCAGGTGGAGAGGTGGAAGACCTTTAACAAGGTGTGTTCATGGGGTTTCTAATTTCTGCATAAAGCACTGTCTGAGAGGGGGAGTGAGGAAATGAGTGCTCAGACCAGGAGGGAGCAGGACCAGGGAATGGTGTGTGTGGAGGGGAGGGACAGTCAGGGCTGATGTGTGCCTTGTGCCAGTTCTGAGGCACAAGAAAGAGACAAAGACAGGCAGCACTTTATTTTACATACTTTATTGTTGTAGTGCCCTGGAACAGATTGGCCTTGCTGCCTTAGGCAATCTTCTTGCTGGTCCTTTTGTAGACTACACCAGAAGAAGTGGAAATCTGGAACAAAGAACAAACCAAAACTTTGATTGAACAGTGTAATTAGAGCTTCAGAGTGACAAGTGAGCAGAGCTGGTGACTGGCTCAGCCTGTTCCTGGTGGAGCAGCTTTCACCCTTGGGTACAGGACACATCTGGACAAGCAGCTCAATGTCCTTGTCAGGTCTGAGAGGCAGTGAAAAATGCCCTAACACAAAAAGCACAACTTCTAAACAGGGATGTAGGGATAACTGCAGGATCAGCAGTGAGGGTGTTTGTCAGGCCTGTCTGTCTCACAGTGCTGCTGTTAGTGCTGTGCTTTCAGTGACCTCCCAAAGCTGCATTGCCAGTTTGTTTCCAAGACAGGATAATATGGGAAATCCAACCTCTGGAGCTTGGTTGGGTTTGTGGGTTTATTTGCTTTGGTAGGAGTAAGGAAATTGGGTTCTGCAGACACTCTGTGAAGAGCTGCAGACAGTTTTCTAAGGGTGAAATGAAGTCAGTAACTCCATGGAAACATGTAAGTACCAGGTGAATAGTTTTATATGTACTATTTTCCTGTTCTTGTGGCACAGGAACAGTGAGTACAAAACTGTTTGAACCTTCCAATGTTCCAGCTATAAAACTGTGTCTCTGTGCTTGAGGTGCAAGATCTACATCTCAGACTGACCAAAAATACAGGATGAAAAGTTTGTGCATTGAATTTATGGGTTAAACCTGCACAAAACTACAGAAGATTATCTAGAGTGAAGGAGAAAGTCATTTAATAGTTTTGCTTTACTTAGTCTAAAGATTTTTTCCAAACTTAAAATGCTAGGCCTGGTGCTGCTGAGGGTTTGCTGTTTGCACAAAGTGTGGACTCACCTCCACCAGTTTCCCCCCACAGATCTCTGCGGTGTGGTGGTAGTTGGGGAATTCAGCCACCAGCTTCCCACCTTCCATTTTCACAGTTGCCTGCAATGCACAAAGGGTCAGTGTTCCTGGAATCTCTGTTGTAGGCATTCTGTAAACATCTGCAGAGCTGATGCTGAAAAGCTTTCACTCCTAAAAAGGCAGAAGTTGTGTACTGCACAATCAACCTCAAGGACAGGAGTGAAATCTTTGGGCTTTGGTTCTTAACTGCTCACATTTTACACAGCAAAGTGTTCATCCCTCAATCCCTGCAGATTCCATAGCTACACAGGCACTGGTGGCTCTGGGAATGGCTGAACTGGAGGTTGTGCCTCTCCCTCAGCCTCAGAGGTTCATGTGGTTCTCTTGCTCTGGCAGTGAAGCCAAAGCTGTGAGGGTAGAAGTTGGTTTTGAAGTGGCAAACTCAGAGGCTAATAACCTCTACTTGGGTGGGGAGAGGAGGGCTGTTGGGAGGAGCATTAGGGTGTGGAGAATGATTTTTAGCATTGTAGGAGGGTTAGGGTTAGGGTTAGGGTTAGGGGTTAGGGTTAGGGTTAGTGTGGACAAGTAACCAGAGAATCCCAGAATGGTTTGGGTTGGAAGCACCTTGAAGTCCATCCCGTTCCACCCCTGCCATGGGCAGGGAACCTTCCACCAACCTGAGGGTTTTGCTTTTCACCTTGAATTAAAAAGCAACACAGACTGGGGAACTTCAGAGCTAAATGTCATACCTTGAACTTCCTGCCCCCCATGGTCTCCATGTCTGCTTCCTTGCCAACCGTGAAGGTGTTGGTGGTGGTGCGACCTCCAGGGAAGTGCTGGGTCCAAGTGAAGTCATTCCCATTCTGCACCACCTCAGTCACAATTTTGCAGTTCCTCCCCATTTCGATCTTGTCACTGGGCAGACCTTAAGCAATAAAAACACAGAGTGAGGCAAACCTAACACCTCCCAGCCCGGTTGGCCCTGATCCCTGACAGTGCTGTGTGTTCTCAGACATTGGTGTCTGAGCACCTCATTTGCTCTGGAGTTTTTTCCTCTCTGTTTTTAACAGCCTCAAAGCTCTGAGTTGCAGTTAGTGATATAAAGATATTGGTACATCAGTGCATTTCCTAAAACAGTGACCTTGCATTCCTTTCCCTGAGAAACAATAGACAGAACAGAGGTATAGATAAAAGGCACATGTAAATATTCCTTTGTCCTTAACCCACACATGCAGATGTTTGGAATTTAATGTGTGTGACCTTGTGCCTTTGCTATATTGTTGTCCCTGTTGTTGTATTTGCTGTTTCTCTGTAAATACATGAACACAAGCCCTGAACTGATGAGCACAGATCACACTGGCCCAGAGAGCTTTTTCAGGGTAACCTCTGGGACAGGCTCACACAGTTTGAAAGCACCAAAACCTGGTCCTGTGTGAGACTTTGACAAGCATCTTCTTACTGAATTAATACTCCCAGCAATGAATGTTAAGGGCAGGAAAAAAAGTGACCTTCACAATCATCATATTTCGAACATTTTGGCCCTTCATTCTGCTGCCACTGGAAAGTAAAATCACTTGTGTGGCACAGGACTATTTCCTGCAGCTGACAGTGACAACAGCTTCCTGTGGAGTGCAGAGCACTCTGCCAGGCTCAGCCCCTGCTGGTCTCAGCATGCAGAATCAGAGAATCATGGAATGATTTAGGTTGGAAGGACCTTCAAGATCAGCCAGTCCCATCCCTGCCATGGACAGGGACACCTCCCACTAGCCCAGGATGCTCCAAGCCCCATCCAACCTGGCCTGGAACACTCCCAGGGATGGAGCAGCCACAGCTGCTCTGGGCAACCTGTGCCAGAGCCTCAGCACCTCACAGGGAGGAATTCCTGCCCAATATCCCATCTATCCCTGCCCTTTGTCAGTGTGAAGCCATTCTCCCTTGTCCTGTCCCTCCAGATCCTTGTAAATAGTCGCTATCTTTCCTATAACTCCTGGAGGCACTGGAAGGTCACAGTTAGGTCACCCCAAAGCTTCTCTTCCCCAGCTGAACCATCCCAACTCCCTCAGCCTTTCCCCACAGCATCTGATCATGTCAGCTAAAAACCCCTTTTGAAAAAGAAGCATTTGTAACTCCCACATGAGCTGTGGCAGTGACACCCAGGGCAGACTCACCAATCTTCTTCACGAACTCATCATAGTTCTCATCGCCCTCGTACTCGTATTTGCCTGTGAATGCCATTTGTCCTGGGGCCTGTCTGGAGAGCAGAGCAGGAGCTGGGGCTGAGCAGGATGCACAGTGCAACTCTCCAGAGGCCCTGGGTTTTATGCCCCAGCCCAAGCTGTGCCCACACCCCTTGGAAAGGGCTTTTACGAGCTCCGTGAATCACTCACACCGGTGCCACTGACCTGTGTGAAGTCAAGGTTACAGAGCAATTGCACATCCTTGGCAATAACCTGGAGATCAGCAGAAGTCAAGGCCAAAAGCTCCGTTTTCATTTTAGGGCTTATTTAAACAAACTTACACATTTCAACGTTCAAGATTCCACTGGGTTTGCATTCAGGGTGGAATAAAGTAACTGCTAATGAAACAGGGAAGAAATGGTGCCAGAGCCCTGGGACCCAGCCTGGGTCTGTTGGGATCATCTCCTGTGTCACATCTCCCACATTTACTCAGTGTTACATCCCCCTGTGCTGTGCAGGGTGACCCCATGGACCTGTGTGTGTGGCAGCACAGAATCCAGACCATCCCCTGTGCCTCCAAGCAGAGCATCCCTCCTTACCCAAAACAGGAGAGACCCACACACCTTCTCTCTGGGAACATCCTCTGCACCCTGTGCTTAGCATCCAGGGCAAAAGAGTGAGGGAGAAAAGTGCCAGACTGGGGGTTTCTCTATTGATTACAAACACAGAAGATTCAGCGAAGGAACAGAAACTTGTGCCATCCCCAGTGCTTCCTTTGCACCTCTGGTTTAAAGGTGGCTGTGGAATGACTCTGACTGTCCTGTAACTGTATTTGACACAGTTTTTTAATTAATACTCCTTCAGTTCATTGCTGAACTCAATGACCAGTTGTGCAGAAGCACATCTGAGTAGGAAACCTCCTGTGCCAGCTGGACCCACGTGCTTAGCCCCTGTCTGGAGACAAGCAGCACAAGCACAGGACACAGTGAGCTGGTTGCACATACTTGGGAGCCTCAGTCCTCACTGATGTGGTAAAGCTCCTTGAACACCAGTTAAACCATGATAGTGTCAGCTCTGCACCATTCAGAGAGGCAAATCTCCTGCTGATTTCAGATTTGAAGGCACCACATAGAGGAAAGTGTCCTGAGACCTGTTTCACACAAGAGAAAGCTGAAACACGAGGAGAAGTGACCTGCCAGAGCTTAGGATACAGTGCTGTGAGGATCTGTCCAGTCACTTAGCACAACTGCCTGGGCAAGTTCCCAGTTAAGATCCTTGCCCTCTCCCTGTGTCCCTGTGTCCCAAAAGCTCTCCAGTGCCCAGCCCCAGCTGGACAGTGTGTGACCAGTGGCACTGTCCTCAGGTGAGCACCAAAGCCCTGGAGTGTTCCAGAGGGACGTGCACAGCCCTGTAAAGAAGGTCCATGAACTCAGGCCATAAACTCTTCTGTTCACACAGAACTTCCCACTGGGGTAGTAACACCACATGGTCCTTGGGAGAGAGATCAAACTGGATAAGGAAAACGACACAGTTCAGTGCAAAAGGAAAAAGATAATCAGATTATATGAACAGTACTTGAACTTTTATGTTCACTATCAAGAGGAGATTACACTGATAGCTGTGGTGATACAGAAGTGCTGACACCTACAGAAATCCAGAGGGCCCAGGGCTGGTGTGAGGAGGGGATGGGCCCAGAGCCAGTGTGTGTGTGCAGGACAGGGACAGGACTGATGATCCTCGTGGGTCCCTTCCAGCTCAGGAGATTCTACATTCCGTGATATGATTCCACTAGCTCCGATGAGAAGCTGTGCAGGAAAGCTCAGCACTGTATCTGAGTTCACCAGGATGATGTAAATTGCAAATGTGTGGCTGCTGTAGACAGTTAACATGAATAAGATGTCAAAGAAGTAAAACTCATGTGGAATCTCATACCCAAAGGAAAAGGTCATCTAAAGTGAGCAGTTATTTCCCTGTGCCTCCCAAGTCAGCTACCTCTGAAATGCAAACCAGCTGACTCTTCAAATGCTGCTGGGAGCACAGGGAGCTTTAAGGAACTAAATGAAAGGCCTTGGATTTCTTTACTCTGAGAATTTCCTTGCCACAAAGCCATAAACATAACACTTCTGCATTCCTTTGGAGGTGCATTCCCTGCCCTTGAATGCCTCCAGCACCCCCCGAAGTTTGTTCACCTCTCAGATGTGCTCACAAAGCCAAGGAGATCCTCTCAGAGATAGGGGAGGAACTCCAGCAGTGGATGAAGGAGGCTGAGCCAGTGGCTTTGAAGTGCTTTCAGTTCCAGAGAGCAGCTGAACGGGGAGTACAGACTCCACATGAAAGGAGGAACTCTCCAGTGAGCTCAGACTTACATTTAACGATTCTCTCCGAATGAAACTTGATCGGCAAAGCTTGTAAAGCCCTAAACCAGCTGTATCTGGCAATTATTCAGCAGCCTCCCCAGCAAATGGCTAATGGTTATTAATTCCTCTGGCACTCGGAGCAATCATTCATAGCAAATGCAGAATGAGCTCGTGGTGCTAATGGGATGTGTAACTCCAGGGGAGTCCTGCTCTCCTTGGCCCTGTTAAGGAGCCATTTAGCCCAGAGAGAGGTGTTACTCCTCTTCAGCCATGAGCAGCAGAGAAGTAATTACCAACAAGATGTGGCTGAATTATTGAGCAGCTTGGACAGAGCTCAAATCTCAAATCTCTAACAGCAATTCACCTGCCAGCAACACAAACCTTCTGCAGGTGACACAGCACAGACTGTGCCCTTGTCCCAGGTGGCACATGGATCTGCCTAACAGAAACAGGACAGATCCTACCAGAGACAGAAACATCTGCAGGGGAGGAAGGCACAGATCCTCCAAAAGTCCAGCATTTTGGGAGGATGTCTCTAAAAGGAAATTCAACTATTTCCTGCCAAAACACTCCATCAGGAAAACCTTCAGCCTGTTTGGATCTCCAGAAAGGAAGTTTCCAGAAAGTAAGACAAGCAAGAGATTCATTCAAGCTAGGCAAGGTGGCAGAGCTGCTGTAGGAAGTGGTTGGTCTGACTGGTGTTCCAGGCCCTGACTGGTGTTCCAGGCCCCCAGGTACCACCTCAGGGACTGCTGAGTTCTGCCTTGGGCAACTAAAACCACAGAAACTAAACCTGAGGGAAATGCCCTGATACCAACAACTTCTTGTGACTTCAGGTGTTCTTTTCCTTCTTCAGGACCCTTCCCTTCCATGAGTTATCCCATTCCCAGTGTTACTGGTGTTCCAGGCCCTGACTGGTGTTCCAGGCCCCCAGGTACCACCTCAGGGACTGCTGAGTTCTGCCTTGGGCAACTAAAACCACAGAAACTAAACCTGAGGGAAATGCCCTGATACCAACAACTTCTTGTGACTTCAGGTGTTCTTTTCCTTCTTCAGGACCCTTCCCTTCCATGAGTTATCCCATTCCCAGTGTTACTGGTTGCACTCAGTGACACTGACAGCTCAGGAATCAGAAGCTATTGTGATTTCTAAGCTGAATAACAACTACACAAGCAGACTTGAATTCTCCTGTGCCAGTTTGACTCGTGTCACCTGCAAAGGCACAGTAAAGCTAATGTTGGCTCCTCTCGGTTTGGCTCCACAAAACTGGTCAGATTTCTTTGGAACAAGAGCCACTGTGGAATACTTTGAACCTCAGTGGTTTTGGTCTAGCAGAGACATTATTTAATAGGTTGCTAAAATGGAAGATACAATTTACCCTGCAGAGTCCTCTGACCAAACCATGAGCTAAAGATCTCTCCTCTGTGCATCTCTTGGGTGGGAAGTACCTATAGTTCCTAATAAAGTTAATGACTGACAACCCTAGAGATAGGAATCATTACAGCTACTCTTCTGGACTTCTCTGCCCCAAACCCAGAGCCTTCCCCCCTTCACCAGGTCATGGGGAGGGCTGTAAAGATTTTATTACTTGATAGCAGCAATGTGATTGCACTCCTGACACACAGGTCAGCACAGCCCCAGTGGGAGCTTATCTCCCAGGAGATCTGGTTTGGAGCCTTCCATCCCATGGCTGTGGTTGTCCCACCATCCTCAGCCACCACCAAAGAGGAAAATCCCTGTGCCAGTCGAAACGAATGTGCACCACATGAGCTGTGTAGGAATGAGGTGCTGGAGTGGAGCCAGGGAAAGGCAAAGGAAAACTTGAGTTTTTTTGCTGGAACAATGTTTTGCCATGCTGCTGCAGGGTTTGATTTTAGCCACAGCTAATACTGGATAAACCCTACACAAATTAGCTTTTCTCTTTGCTTTAGCACAAAGATATTTTGAAAACACCTAAAGTATTTGTTTTCACCTCCACTACTGCATTATACACAAGTGCCTTTTAGCACCCACACCCTGAGAGCTGTTGTGCTGCCTTCCCCTTCCCCTCTAGTCTGGGATGCTCAGAGAATTTTCCTTAATCCGTGGCATGTAGGATGAGAACTGCAGGCAAGCAGGGGGTTAACTTTCAGCTCCAATAAGACAATTCCCCATTTACAAATACAGATATGCATTTTGTATGTCTCCAAAGAGCCTTTCTAGGTCATTCAGACATGGAAACACATCCTCTGCTCTTGAACCAGACTCTTTCTGCTGCAGATGTCAACACGAGGTTTGCTTATTCCCAAGGTGGAAGATAGAAGAAAAGAGAAAAACAATCTTTTTAAAGACACTGCAGTTTCACAGCTTATTTGTTTTTGTGCATCTTTATGTAACATCAGCATCTCTGTGTCTGGGCCAGCAATGGTTACTGAAGGGAATGCACAGAGCTGCAGCACTGAGAAAGGCTGAATTCCCCCTGCCCTGCCAGAGAACTCCTTCCACTGCCAGGGTTACTGAGAGTTCAGCACACATGGGATAAACACAGCCCTGCACTCCCCAGCCCTCAGCCACTGCTCAGAGCTGGGCTCTGCTCACATCCCATCCTTTGCCCCAGTAACCTCCACAGACTCACAGAGTCACTCAGCCTGGAAGACACCTCTGAGACCATCGAGTCCAACCTGTGACCCATCACCACCTTGTCAACTAGCCCAGAGCACTA